CGATTTTCCATCAATAGTTTCCAAGATTCTTGACATTCGAAATCGATTTTTCTTGAAAATCAATACCAATTTTGAAACGTAGGTAACGTTAGCACCAGATTCGAATATTTTCGGCCCAGATTCATTTCCAAACTTTATTATAATTTAACACAGATATTAATTTTACACAGATTAATATATACACAGATGACATCAGCCATGACGAGTGTTTGTTTGTGCAGCAGCGTAGAGAACCGTAAAACGCAAAATTATTTTACTTCTCTACGCGCTCAGATTTTAATAAAAATTATATCTATGCTGATACTAAGGGTCAAACTAGTGACAACAGACGAAGTAATTTATAGCATTGGGAGTCTCACGTCTTCCCTATTAGACTATATCAACTTCGAAGTTATAAGGTTAAAGACGCAAGAGTAGCGGTAGGCAGGAAGACTTTAATGAAATAAATTAAACTAAAATCTTAAAAGTTCTATAAGTTTTGAATAAAAGCGAATTTCAACATTCTGTTTTCACTTTCAAGAGGTAAAAATCTATGCTCTTTCCGAATTTGATATTTTTATATACTGCTTTTTGCTTGTCAAACGTCACTTCTGCTCCGAGAAAATTGACTTTTAAAGCTTTCTGCTCAAAAACTATCGTGCTTTTTTTGAAATGAGCTCGAAGTAGAGGCGGCGGAGCCCGTGAGGCTCGAGCCTCACCTCGTTTCCACCAATGGAGGCTCAGCCTCACTTGATTTTGGACTGAACACTGTTGAATTTTGTCAATATATCTGATCTTATTAAATTCATCATTGAGTAAAGAATAGCTTGAGGAGATAGATAAATAGAACTCTTTTAACAAATTGTTCTTTTTCTATAGATCGTGGAAAGAAAGAAATAGAACAGAAAATGGCATCAACTATACCAACTGAATTATGATTCATGCTGTACACAAAGGACTTGAAAAAGTAAAAGAAATGGAAAGAAAGGAAAAGAAAAGTGGTCTATACTGTTTATTTATATATTATAGCCTACTTCATTCAGTTTTTAGAAAGTTTGTACAATCTTGAAAATGATTTTTGTTTGAGTAAAAAAGATCTGATGTTTCGACTCGTCATAGAGTCATTTTCGAACAAAAGTTATAGAATATTATCGAAAACCGACCTCCAAAATTTGTTCGGCTGGGTTTGAAACTTGGCGGCTTTTGTAGCGCCACTCGAATAGTATCTAAGACAATAATAGATCGAAAAGTTCATATAGAGTTTTCGTGGGGACAGCTCACAAAGTTCAAAAGTAGGTTCCGGATGCAGGAGTATTGGCGTTAAATGATAAGTATTTCCGAGTTTGTTCTTGTAACATTCAGAAAAGTTTCAATGGCGCTTTCTGTTCATTTTAAAATAGAACTGTTTCTCTTAGTCTTTGGATGAATGTTTCTCGAATTAAAAAACGTAATTTTGACCAGTGATGGTTAAATTTTTCATAAAAAAGCTTTGTATAAAAAAATGATGAGGAAAATTAAATTTTTGGTGGAACATATACGGCCTTTTGTGCTCTTTTCGATCACTACCATTAGAAAAATTCAGATGTAATGGTTAAATTGGTATTTAGGTACTCAGGAACTTTACTTTGTATTATTTGGAATAGTCGTTAAAAAAGTTCCGAGTATGAGTACGAGTACTAGGAATTTTGTACTCGAGTGGATACTCGTACTCGTCCATCTCTGAAGCACACACTATCAATGCCCTTAATGCGTGTATCTGAGGTCTGCGTGTATCACACACACGCACACACGTAAATATAATTGAATTGATGGTTTTGTAAATATGTATTTTACCTACATCGATTTTTCGAGAGACATCTGATACAAAAAACTGTAAAAATTCGCGCCCGTTGTTTTGCAAAAATCTGTAGTAAAAATTTCCATGTCTTACGTAACATCACAAGCATGAATTTCTTCTGCGTTTTACTGCAGAAACAAAACTTTTTGCGATAAAACGCAAGAAAATGTCATGGTTTTTCATCGGTAAAATATTATTGTCTGCAATTCCAAGAAGAAAGCTTTATGTTTCTCTCAGACCATCACCGGACAGGTTCACTGAATCAGCCCACAGTCTATGTCGAAATTTCGAGAGGTATTTAATGCGAATAATTGCGAAAATTCAGGTCCGTTATTTAGCATAGCAGGTCCCCCATTGTTAAACCAAAATATTTTTTGCGAAAGTTGTATTGAAAAAACACACGCAGTATAACGCAAAAACGATTCTGCGATAAAAGACAAAAAAAGCATCGGCTTTGGTTGATTTTTGCGGGAAAAAACGACGCAAGAAAATGTATATAAGAACCATGCCTTTTCTGGCGTTGCGTTAGTTTCACCAGAAAAGTGCCAAAAAACGCACATTTCTGCAGAAAACTTGAAAAACAATTAACTTGGAGAACGAACAAAGAAAAGAATAATAAAGAAAAATCAAAAGAACAATTTTCTGAAAACAAGAAGAAAAGGACGGATTACTTCCTATTGCTTCTTGGGGATTGGTAATACAAGTTTACAGGAATCATGGTGACACATAAGAAAACTGTATCGCATTTGAAGAGAGCTGAGTTCACACTTCGAATTACTTTGAATAATGCTCTACGTTTCAGTCTACAGTACAGTTAGACTGTTGGGATCTATCTGCTCACCGATTTGTGTCGCACACACGGCTGACAGGCTGCGTAATATCATCAAATAAGTCAAATGATGGTGCAGTGATCTCACGGCATGGATAGGACGCTTAGCCGTATCAGATAAACAAGATGTGGAAAAGTAGCTTCTGGTATGGATAGAAACACTTAGTTAAACTTTGTCATGTAATTCTCTTCTGACGTTTACTCAATAGACAGATATTGTTGACATTTTCTATCTCAAATGATTGATTATTCCAAATTTCAATGCTAATATTGGAGTTCTATGGCTGATTTTTTGATTTAAATTGTTTAATTTGTGACAATTGTTGTTTCATAATCAAAATAGTCATCCTGATGTACGTTTCAAAATTTTCTCTGATTCTTTGATAAAGTGTTCCAGATGAATGCTAACATGAATATTATCTTATTCTTGACATTAACAAAAGAAATGTAGACGATATCTGTTTTTCCACATATCATTCAAATTTCATTTGTAATCTCGGTCAGCTAAACGATGAATAATTCTGGCATACCATCATCATTGTTCTGTTCATACACTTCTTGAAGCTTAATGAGAACCACTATATTCAACTTTGGTACCTCGTAGAACAGGACAATATTGAATTAAATGGTGGCTCCAATAAAGCGAACATCGGCTCAGTCTTTCGGATGTAAATGATGTGAACACCTGGTACCGGACTCAATTGATTAACGACTAACAAAAGTGGTTAACAAAAGTAAAAGCTTATCTTCTGTTTTGAAATATGAATGTGATTTAATCAGTTTTCCTCATTGATATTCGATACACTGTAAAAAATAAGGTGTGCTGGCTAGTGTGCATTTCGAGTCCAAAGTGATGTTGAAATCGTCACTGTGTAATTTGAATTTTTATCTAGCGTTTCTCCACGGAAAAAAACGGAAGAATTATTCTTATCTTCGGTCTGTTTTCTCGTTCTGTCTGTGGGAGCTAAATGTGCAATTCCAGTGGCACATTGAAGACACATTGAACAAGCCATTTTCAGTGTGCAAAAACAGTCCAACGTGATATGCACATTCAGTGTGCCCCGGACACACTTTATTTTTTACATGAGTTAAATGCAGAGATGCTCTAATACTCTTACGCTGCGTATTCAAACCTTACTGCGCAAATGTGCTCGGTATGCGTAATACGCATATTGAGATATTTTCAACGGTTATGTAATATGTGTCAACTGTTATTAATCGCGACACATAGGAATTATTTAGATGATATGGGATTGAAGTTTGACAGAAAAGATGGTGGTATTTTGTTGAAAGGACAAATAACCGGTTACAGTTTCCAGATTCTTCTTGATTTAATAACTAACAATGGCTTATGACTGTATTACTAGGGGTACAGTCAATAGGGGTGTCACTTTACTGTTCTTTACCAAGTGGTAAGTAATATAATGTATTAGTTATTACCTGAAAACAAGTAATAAATCTTATTACTTATTGCTTTTTCAAGTAATAATCTTTTATTACTCTATTTATTACTAATAAGAAGAAAAATAATAAAAAGTAATAAGTAAATGATGAAAAATTATTACATAAGTAATAAAACAACAAGATTTATTACCTTTTTACCCGTAATAAGTAACAAACGTTTATTACTTTTACCGGGCAATGTAATAATTAGTAAAAGAAAAGTAGTCTCTCTAATTCTCTCCATTTCGAAAAGTTTACAATTCCAAAAGCAGATGTAGAACATTTATTCAAAGTAATTCGAAGTGTGTACGTAAGAAAGATAACCACAAGTGATACTTACACAAAAAAAAGCAAAATAATTCAAACATTATTCGTTGGCACAATGGTGGTAGCGCGATGGTTCTTACTGACAATCTTAAGTCAAATCTTAATGTAAAACGTATCACATTTCGTGATGATTTCTCGACCGATACGGCTAAGCGTCTTATCCATGCCGTGAGATCACTGCACCATCATTTGACTTATTTGATGATATTACGCAGCCTGTCAGCCGTGTGTGCGACACAAATCGGTGAGCAGATAGATCTCAACGCTCTAACTGAACTTAATCTGTCATCTAACAAAATGAGCGACGAAGGAGCATTTGTAATTGCATAAGGATTAAAGAAGAAGGAGACATTGATTTGCCGTGATATACGTTACAATAAAATAGGGGGCGATGGTACTAATGCTATTTTTCACACATTGCGGAAGAATAGTCGGTTAGAAAATCTAGATATTTCTGGTAATGAGATACAAGTGGTTGACGTGGATATTTTTGGGAATATGTTAAGGGAAAATGAAATATTAACACATTTGAATTCGTCTTGTACTCGTTTGAGTGATGGTACTGTCTCAGCAATAGCCAATTTGTTGAATATGAACAACACCCTCACACATCTCGATCTAAGTGACAACAAGATTACGGATATCGAAATCGCTTTACTAGCTGTTGCATTAAAACTCAATAAAAGTCTGAAAAGTCGTTATGTCAACCGGAGCAAGTGTAGAGATATCTGTGCACATTCAATCTATGAAATGTCCTGAACGTTTCGCAAAAGTTTCCTTCAGCCAGCATGAGATTTGACCGAGATATAAGGATTTTAATGTTTACTGATAACAAGCGAAAAACCGTTTTTTGCCAAAAAAATGACTCAAGGAAACTTTCAGAAAACGCTCAGGACAGCTTATAAATCATAGTCGAAGACGAAAAAAGGAAATTACAGCTAGACATTGGTTTAAGGTTTTCCAGAAACCTCCTGAAAAACCTCAGAGCCTCAGTGCTGTGCTGGACCACTTTTTGACTTGATCAACAATATATGACGCCTTTTAAGTCTTTCCTGAAAATTTGCTTGAGTCAGCATGAGACCTGACGAAGATATAGGGATTTTAACTGTTGCTGGTAAGAGGCGACAAACCGGTTTTTCACAAAAATTTCTCTGGCGAAGTTATTTTCATTTCTACACAAACAAGAAATGTTGCCACTATGCTTAGCGTACCTATATTCCATGGCATTTCGAGATTCCCAGAGATGTCTGCTAGGAGATAGACACGCGTTCGGGGAAAGCGAGCCCTGTCCGAACAACGATAGCTGGAGAGCTGGGAGCTGCATAATTTTGTAGAGTAATGTCCGGACTACGTACGCATGCAAAAAAATTACTAACTTTGTATGTTAGTTTTCTGAGAACGGAGCTAGTTTTCCAAAGATCCTCTGGAAAATCGGACTTCCAGAAAGTTTGGAAACAAGTTTCTGCTTACAAAAACATGTGTTAAGGTCGTACGAGGAAAGGTGCCTAAGTGTGCAATCGCTTTTTGCTTGAATTCTAGTGGACAATAGGTAATTGACTGCGCTATATCCGAGTCCGACATCGGTTTGTCGTGCTAGGCCTCCACAGACCGGCTTTCTGGAAAAGCAGCTTTTCAGAAACTAAAGAATAACCAAAACCTTTCTTAATGGGGCATGATTGTAGACCAGGGTTGCCATATGTACCCCCATTTTGAGGTACAATACCCCATTAGCCATTTCGTACCCCAGAAAAGTTTGTACCATTTAGGGTTTTTGACTCTGTGCTGCGATAAACCGATCTTTTATCAGTTAAAATTAATATTTGTTTCTAGATTATATTGTTTTCTAAAGTTATAATATAATTGTGGAAGTGTTTTTTGTGAAAAGATGAACAATAAAGTTTGTTTCTAATAGAAAAAAGTGAAATATGATGTTATTTTCTATAAAAGAAATTGTGTTTCAGTAGTTTTCCCAACTAACCTTCTATTTCAGAAGGAAAGTTATGTACCCCAACGACGTACCGCATTATAAAAAGAAGAGTACCTCAATTGAACCCCATTCGAAATCTCGTAAACCCCACCTGAATATTTAGATATCGCAACCCTGTTGTAGACCCTAAATTTCTGATTAAAATGAGATATCTCCCAGCTCTACACGACCATTCTTTGCAAAGTTACAGAGTTTACAGGAAAAGCCCTAAATTAATTTCTTCTTATTTCTGTAGCTTTGAGCTGACAACGAACATTTAGAGCTTTTCGTGTCAATTCTATAACTTGTCAAAGAAAGGTCGTGTAGAGCTGGAAGATATCTCATTTTAATCAGAAATTTGCGATCTATAAATTATGCCTCATTAAGAAAGGTTTCGATTGTATGCTTGATGTGATGCATCTGGATTGGCATAAACATACCACTCGATTTGGATCAGCTTGATCTGCTTGCTGTTCTGCTCTCTGGAAAAACAAATGACAAAATATAAAATTCATATATACTTTAATAGTGGTTTTCTTTCTCTTACTTGTGATCGTTCTTTATCAAAGCATTGTATAACATCTAGGAATGAAGAGCGGTCGTCTGGTCTACAAGTATTTGTCGACGTTCTCTCGATCGTTGTAGTAATCGAAGATGAAGTATTTCTAGCAAACATTAGTGGTGAGGGAGCGGGCACTCCACTCTTCGACTGATTATTAGAAAAACGTTTTCGTCTGAATACAATATATGATACACTATTTGATTGAAAATTTAATGCTGAGTCTGAATTTCGTATTAGCTTTGGGTTGGAGTTTTATAGCAACTGAGAAAATTTAGAAAAAAGGGGCTTACCGCTAGACGTGTGCAGGACCATCCCAGTCCCGATCCCATGCCGGTCCCGCGGGACTTGACCAGGGCCTAGAGATCTGCGAGACGGTCTCAGTCCTGCGGGATGGTCCGCTATCTCCATAAAAAGAGTTTTGATAATAAACCATATTTTGTTATTGAGAAACTAAGAACTTTTTATATCCGAAATACTGTATATGATTATCACTCGTCAGATGGGAGCCTGCCATTATGTATCTAACGTGATCCTAAAACTCCTAACCAACACCAAGCATTTTGATTTCTAGTTTAGTTCTGTAGTTTAGTTTGATCTAAAGTTTCTGTGGAAATCCCACGAAGTCTGCACAAAAAATGAAAATGATGAACCTTTATTCTGTCCATCCATGGGTTTACGTACCGCTAACTCATATTAAGCTTGAAGAAGACTGTGTTTTAAATCAGTGAATGTTGACCGTTATTCTGCTGACAATATAAAATATTTGTCAATGATAGACCACATTCTAACTGAGCAATTTGTTGGCTTTTTAAGCTTTTCTCCACTAGTAATTAGCTGTTGCACTTCATTATCAGAATTAATCTGCGACCATGGTATAGATTCTCTTGAATATGTTTCAATAAAAAAAACGAAAAATATAGTTCAATAAAACTGTTCTTAAGTATCGATATTAGTATTGGTAATTTTACGATGACTCAAGATCTTATCTTTACATAAACCACTGAAAAACATTGATAGTACTTCCAAGTGATCTTTTCGGTCATTGTAAGCTTTTATAGTTCTCCAAAAGCGTCTGAAGAGTTTCAAATGAATATCTCTTTCTATGAAATTCCGTTTTGCTTTTGGCATTAAAGAAACTAATGCTTGAAAGGTTTGATCAGTATTTTTCCGGATGAATTGTTTTGAATGACACCAGAAACCTTCAATAGGATTGGTTTCGCAGTGAAATTTCGGTGCAAAAATGATTCTGACTCCATATTTGGCTCCCAACTTTTCGAGTTTGCTAACCTATGATAGAAAATTAGATAAAAAAAATCATAAACAATATGATTGGTAATTATCGATCTTCTCGCATTCAAAGTATTAGTGTGTTTTTTGCGTTTATTCGGAGGCGGCATTTTGATTATATAACAAAACTTTGAACTATACCAATAATCTTTGTTTATTCGAAATACTAAACAGCTGTTCCTTGAGCTCTTTGCATGATTTATATATCACATTGTGAGCGCTGTATTCTAATCGTTTTATTCCGAAGTCTATATATGAATTTATACTCGATTTCAACATAGTTAATATTTTACAGATTCTTTGGAAGCATCCGACAGAATCCTGACTATTTCTGTTGGATTTCAAGATTTGGAGAGAGCTGTTAAAGGATGTTTAAATACGAAGGCCATACTCACAATGTCAAATTTTTTTCACGATTTCTGCAGAAATGTGCGCTTTTTGGCACTTCTCTGGCCACAGAAAACGCCAGAAAACGCATTATCCTCATATGGGTTTTCTTGTGCTGTATTTTTCCACGCAAAAGCAAACAGAAAAAACGATAGTTTTCTGTCTTTTATCGCCGAATCTTTTTTTGCATTATACTGCGTCTGATTTTTCAATACAATTTTTGCAAAAATATTTTTTGGTTTAACATCGCAGTAAAACGATAAGTCATTGCAATGACTCATCGATGAGTCAGCATATTTAGCGTATAATTTGAAAAAGCGGAATTTGTGCAGCGTTATATCTATATCAATGGTCTAAGAAAATTCATGCTTGTGATGTTACGTGAGACACAGAAATTTTACTACAGGTTTTTGCAAAACAACGGACGCGAATTTCTGCAATTTTCTGCATTAAATATCTTTCGAAATTTCAACATGGGTCGGATGAGTTCAGAATTTGTACCGCGCTCGAAAGTCAAAAATCCGATTTCTGTTGACTGTCAAAACAAAAATGCACACAACAAGAGTTTTTACATTTCTTCGGCTGCAGTTCTATTATCGTATTCGGTTTACATCGTATTCAGTTTACATTTACTGAAAAAATTGCGTGGCCCTTGGGACAAACTGAAATTTCCGACTCAGCTTTACTCTGGTCATTCTCTGAGATGTGGTGCTGCTGCCACTGCAGCTTCTGTTGGCGTCCCATAGCACATTATTCAGACATTAGGTGGATGTTTAACACCATCGTCTTTCAAATTATACGTTAATTTGTCGCCTATGATTATTCGTGATGCACAGATAGCTCTCATCAAATAGACTTTACACTTCTTATTGTAGGTATGATGCCTCGCATTGCCTTGAGATTTGCCCAATAAGAACTGCTGTATATGAACTGTATGTTGTTTGTAATTTATATGAGCTTCTTGTGAAGCTATCTGCCCAGGTAAATAATAAAAGATTATGTATCATACTCACAATCTCGTAAGAATTTTGGAAAGAAATTAATTGCTATTTAATGGTTCAAATAAAGTGCGTGGACTCATAATTTGTGTTACACAAAAATAAATCGGCGCTCTCTTAGTTTATATTTTAGGACGTTGCTTAGTTAGAAGAATTTTCATTGAATTCGTTTGCAGCATTTCTTACTTTCGCCATTAATTTTAAGCATCCTGCCACCGCCGCGTCTCTAGTCTACTTATTTACAAATTCGTCTGCAGTGATTTGTATTTATGATTAGTATTTATTCTTACGTTGCCATAAAAACGCATAGTGAGGACACTACATGTCTGAATAATCAATTTCACTCTCACTGCGCAAAATATATCGTGAATCTAATTCGTCGGAGCTTAGAAGAAGTGCACGTCGACTTATTTGCTTCTCTCTTGGTTGTACAAGGGTTCTTTTCTCCTCTGTGGCACGTAGTACAAATTTATCGTTGTGGGCGTAACTTTACTATATCACATTCTTTCCTCTTTATTTCGCCTTTGAATATATTCAAGCGATGGGGTTCGTTTTAGTCAGTCTATCTCTCGATATTACCTTTACAGGTTTTCCTGTTTATTAGAGGTATAGCAGACTGCTTTTTTGGTAACTTCCACTAAAGTTTCCAAAAATTCTCAAAGTAAACGTACCAGTGGTAGAGGATTTAACAAGGATGATATGTTCTACAACGCTAGACTAGAAAAGATATTCTCTTGTTCGGAAAAGGTATCACGGGCAAAGCGCAAAGGTGCCAAAATCCAACACACAATCTGTTCGAAAGGCACAAATATTGCAACTAAAAACTCAATCGCGATATTTGTATACTATATCGTAACAAAAGAGAGCCTTTTGGTTGCAGAATTTAATAGGTAAATCGCGATGACATTTCTACAGCGATGTTTGACTGGTTTATTGTGATAAGATATATTATCTCGATGATGTGTCATGAACTTATAGAGATGTTTATCGTATTAGAACATTTTACTACGATAAGCATCTTTATGCACGAAATTTTCGTGAAAACACGATAAAAATTTCATCAGAGTTTAGCACGAGCCCAGTTTTGATAGCAATAAACATCAACAGTATTCGGAAAAAGAAATTGTTCCACTAATCGCCGATCAACATCTATCTAGAGTTTATTGAAATACGAAGACAAATCAGAATGATCGACAAAATTTTGAGATAATCATCGATAGAACTTCAGCGCATATTAGGGCGATAAAATATTCATCGGGATTAGGCTCGCACCAGTTCTAATCTTAGGCTTGGAGGATTGGTACCAGTCAGGCTTGTTAACAGTTAGGCTTGGTATCAATCCCACCAATCGCCAGTTAGGCTTGGTTGAATATAAAAGGCAAAAGTTTCATCGTACAATCTAAGATGGAATCGTTATTGCACCATGCGATTAGAGTAATTTTTTTCGTGCTTCTTTTGTATGTATCAGGATATTTTTGCTATTGCAGTACTAACTTGTTTGATTTTTCTACATAATCATGCTATCATGCTCTTCTTCTGTATCGCAATAAAACAGAAAAATTTTCGTCTTCATTCGGGATAAAAACGCGATAAACAAGTCGTTTGGAGATTTAAATATCTCTATCTCTATATGTCAAAGTCTACCTTAATAAAAGTATTATTATTGAGATGTGTTATCTTTACCTTTGAAAACAAAATTATCGCGATAACTCTGATAGACTTTTATCGTATATTATCATGATAAACAAGTCATTTAGTAGAAATTACAAATGTCTCGATTAAGCTTTTATCCCAAATGAGGATGAGAATTTTTCTGTTTGAATAGGTTTTGATCGGTTTTGATATTCTCTATAACAATGCAAATCATGCAAGCGACCTCTGTTTTCCAAAAGTAGTCAATTAAAGTATACCTGGAATATGGGAAAATAACTCGAAGTAAGCACTTTTTGGTCATAGAGAAAATAAATTCGACTTGATTAAATTATACGTTGATTTCTATCAGTTTTGCGCAGTACATTTCCATACCAGTAAATTTTTTCACTTTTGAGCTCCAAGGTTTCGATAAGCATGTGACACAGCACAGTAGAGCCCTGCAGGCCACGCATAACCTGTCCGGCTTGGCAGGTTAGAACAGATTTAGGTTACGAAAATTTTTACAGGACAGATTATACTGCCCGCACCCTGTTTTCAACCTGTAATAAAGATATTAAGCGCCATCTGTAAAGAGGAAGAAATAAGAACTCGAAAAATAGTTTTTATTAGTCAAAAAAAATATTTCGTGCATTAGGAAGAGTATTGGAAACACGAAGACAGTCGTTGAATCCAGTTGTTGTTAACGATATATTATTCAGAAAATTTAGAGATGCGTGATCTTTTGTGGTTGTTTTTTCTTAGATAAATAAAGTAAATGAAAAGAATTTACTTTATTAGGAAAAATTTTCGAACTTGGGTACTCATTTTTTGCAGTAATTTTTTCGCAGGACAGGACAGAGCAAGTTGCGCAAAAAAGATTGCAGGTTAGAATAGGTTACAGGTTACGAGGTATAAGGTTATGTAAGGTTCTAGGTTGTTAAAGTTTTTACAGACAGGTTATAGGCTATGAAAAGTTATAACCTGCAGGACTCTACTGCACAGCAGCACCGTCTGCTATATTCTCT